AGGGGGGGGGGGAAGATTTGGGGCCAAAAGGTCGAGATTTGGGTCAAAATTAATTAAAAAAAATAAAAAAATGGGGAAAATGGGGAGATTTCGGGGAGGAACATTCCGGAGGGGGGGTTTTGGGGGGGGGGGGGGGAAATTCGGTCGTTGGTCCCGAAATGGGGCGGGTTTGGCCCCAAATCTCAACCTTTGACCCCAAATCTCGGTCACTGACCCCAAATCTCAACCTTTGACCCCAAATCTGAATCATCGACCCCATATTTGAACCCTTGACCCCAAATCGAAACTCTTGACCCCAAATCTGAACTCTTGACCCCAAATCCCAATCATTGACCCCAAATCCCAACCATTGACCCCAAATCTTGGTCATTGACCACAAATCTCAACTCTTGACCCCAAATATGACCCCCGACCCCAAATTGGAACCCTTGACCCCAAATCTTGGTCATTGACCCCAAATCTCAGCCCTTGACCCCAAATCTCAACCCTTGACCCCAAATCTCAACCTTTGACCCCAAATCGAAACTCTTGACCCCAAATTTCAACCATTGACCCCAAATTTCAACCATTGACCCCAAATTTCAACCACTGACCCCAAATCTCAACCATTGACCCCAAATCTCAACCATTGACCCCAAATCTGAGTCATTGACCCCATATCTGAGCCATTGACCCCAAATCTCAACCATTGACGCCAAATCTGAACTCTTGACCCCAAATTGGAACCCTTGACCCCAAATCTCAACCCTGGACTCCAAAATCTCAACCCTTGACCCCAAATCTCAACAACGACCTCAAATCTATACCTTTGACCCCAAATCTCAACCATCGACCCAAAACCTCAAGAACGACCCCAAATCTCAACCGTTGACCCCCAAACCTCCACCCCGTTCAGCCCCTCCAGCTTCACCTTCGGCAACTACCACATGGCCTGGGCGCGCCAGAGCCCCGGGAAGGGGCTGGAATGGGTCGCTTCGATCAGGAACGATGGTGGTGACACCAGATACGCGCCGTCGGTGAAGGGTCGATTCACCATCGCCAGGGACAACGGGCAGAGCTCGGTGACGCTGCAGATGAACAACCTCAGGGACGAGGATTCCGCCACCTATTTCTGTGCCAAGGAATTCAACGCCGGGGGCTGGGATTATGCCTGTGGTCGAGATTCGGGGTCAGTGGTTGAGATTTGGGAGGTCAACAGTCAATGGTTCACATTTTGGGTCAGTTGGTTGGGATTTGGGGGCAATGGCTGAGATTTGGGGTCAATAGTTGGGATTTGGGGTCAATGGTTGAGATTATGGGTCAATGCCTCACATTTTGGGTCAATTGGTTGAGATTTGGGGTAAATGGTTGAGATTTGGGGTCAATGGTTGGGATTTTGGGTCAATGGTTAAGATTTGGAGTCAGTGGCTCACATTTTGGGTCAATAGATGGAATTTGGGGTCAATGGTTGAGATTTTGGGTCACTGGCAGAGATTTGGGGTCAACAGTTGAGATTTAGAGTCAACGGTTGAGGTTTGGGGTCAACAGTTTGGATTTGGGGTCAGTTACCGAGATTTGGGGTCAATGGCTGAGATTTGGGGTCAATAGTTGGGATTTGGGGTCAATGGTTGAAATTTGGGGTCAATGGTTGAAATTTGGGGTCAATGGCTGAGATTTGGGGTCAAGGGCCCAGATTTGGGGTCAATAGCTGAGATTTGGTGTCAAGGGCTGAGATTTGGGGTCAAGGGTTGAGATTTGGGGTCAATGGTTGACATTTGGGGTCAATGGTTGAAATTTGGGGTCAATGGTTGAAATTTGGGGTCAATGGCTGAGATTTGGGGTCAAGGGCCCAGATTTGGGGTCAATGGGGGTCAATGGCTGAAATTTGGGGTCAAGGGCTGAGATTTGGGGTCAATAGCCCAGATTTGGGGTCAGAGGTTGACATTTGGACCACCCCACCGGCACCGCCCCGGTTGTAGCCGGAATAGACGCTCTTGGCGCAGAAATAGGTGGCGGAATCCTCGTCCCTGAGGTTGTTCATCTGCAGCGTCACCGAGCTCTGCCCGTTGTCCCTGGCGATGCTGAACCGGCCCTTCACCCACGGCGCGTAGGTGGTGAACCCGCCGTCCTTCCTGATGCTGGCGACGAATTCCGGCCCCTTCCCGGGGCTCTGGCGGGCCCAGCCCATGTCGTAGTCGCCGAAGGTGAAGCCGGAGGGGCCGCGGAGATTGGGGGGTCGAGGGTCGAGGTTCGGGGGTTGTGATAGGGATTTGGAGGTCAGAGATGGAGATTTGGGGTCAATGGTTGGGATTTGGGGTCAACAATTGAGATTTGGGGTCAATGGTTGGGATTTGGGGTCAAGGGTTGAGATTTTGGGTCAGTGGTCAAGATGTGGGTCAATGGTTGAGATTTGGGTCAATGGTTGAGATTTGGGGTCAAGGGTGGACATTTGGGACAAAGAGTTGGGGTTTTGGGGTCAAAGGTGGAGAATTTGGGACCAAACCAGCCCAAGGTCGGGAGCGACGAGCGAGAGCTGGGTGTGAAGGGGCGGAGTTTCGGGATTTGGGGAGGTTTGGGGACCCCACAAAGGGGGTCGATGGCATCAGCAGCACCCCAACCAGCAGCACCAGTACCAGCAGCTTTGGCACAGAAATAGGTGGTGGAATCCTCGTCCCTGAGGTTGTTCATCTGCAGCGTCACCGAGCTCTGCCCGTTGTCCCTGGCCATGCTGAACCGGCCCTTCACCGACGGCGCGTATCTGGTGTAACCATCCTTCCAGATCCCAGCGAGCCATTCCAGCCCCTTCCCGGGGCTCTGGCGCACCCAGTACATGGTGTGGCTGCCCAAGGTGGTCGTTGGTCCCGACCTTGGGCCTGGTTTGGCCCCAAATTCCCCACGTTTGGCCCCAAACCCCAACTCTTTGTCCCAAATCTCTGCCCTTGACTCCAAATTCCTTTCATCAACCCTAGAGATCAAACCAAGACCCAAATCCCAACCATTGACCCCAAATGTCAACCATTGACCCCAAATGTCAACCATTGACCCCAAATCTCAACCATTGACCCCAAATCTCAACCATTGACCCCAAATCCCAACCATTGACCCGTATCATGATTCTTGACCCAAATCTCAACCATTGACCCCCAATCTCTGCCCCGTTCAGCCCCTGTGGCTCCTCTGCCGCCCCTCCGGCTTCACCTTCGGCGACTACACCATGTACTGGGTGTGCCAGAGCCCCGGGAAGGGGCTGGAATGGCTCGCTGGGATCAGGAATGATGGTGCTGCCACCAGATACGCGCCGTCGGTGCAGGGTCGGTTCAGCATGGCCAGGGACAACGGGCAGAGCTCGGTGACGCTGCAGATGAACAACCTCAGGGACGAGGATTCCGCCACCTATTTCTGTGCCAAATCTTTCACTGATGGTGGTGCTGGTTGGCAAAGTGTTGCTGGTAAAGATTTAGGCTCAGGGATAGAAGATTTGGGTCAGTGGCTGAAATTTGGGGTCAGTGGATGTGATTTCGAGTCAGCAGTTGTGATTTGGGCTCTTTGGTGGACATTTGAGTCAACAGTTGAGATTTTGGGTCAACGATCGAGATTTGGGTCAATGGCTGAGATTTTGAGGGAAAACGGTCAAGATTTGGGACAAAGAGTTGGGGTTTGTGGCCAAAGGTGCCCAGAACGTGTCAGGGTCGAAGGTGCTGGTTTGGCCCCAAATTTTTTGCTCCAAACCCCAACTCTTTGCCCCAAATCTCAACCCTTGATCCCAAATCTCAACCCTTGACCCCAAATCCCAACCATTGACCCCAAATCTCAGCCATTGACCCCAAATCTCAACCACTGACCCCAAATCTCAACCATTGACCCCAAATCTCAACCCTTGATCCCAAATCTCAACCATTGACCCCAAATCCCAACCATTGACCCGTATCATGATTGTTGACCCAAATCTCAACCACTGACCCCCAATCTCTGCCCCGTTCAGCCCCTGTGGCTCCTCTGCCGCCCCTCCGGCTTCACCTTGGGCAGCCACACCATGCAGTGGGTGCGCCAGAGCCCCGGGAAGGGGCTGGAATGGGTCGCTTCGATCAGCTATAATGGTGCTGCCACCAGATACGCACCGTCGGTGAAGGGTCGATTCACCATCGCCAGGGACAACGGGCAGAGCTCGGTGACGCTGCAGATGAACAACCTCAGGGACGAGGATTCCGCCACCTATTTCTGTGCCAAATATGCTGGTAGTGGTAGTTGGGGTGGTGCTGAGGATATCCATTCCCTTTGTGGGGTCCCCAAACCTCCCCAGACCCTCCCCTCAAAGCTCTGCCCCTTCACACCCAAATCTGAACTGTCGAATGCCAAACGTCAAACGTTGAACCCGAATATCGACCATTGACCCAAAATCTCAGCCATTGACCCCAATCTTTACCTTTTGCAGAGTTTGGGGACAATGGTTGAGGGTTGGGGTCAATGGTTGGGATTTGGGGTCAATGGTTGAGACTTAGAGTCAACGGTTGAGGTTTGGGTCAATGCTTGACATTTTGGGTCAAGGGCTGAAATTTGGGGCCAAGGGCCCAGGTTTGGGGTCAGAGGCTGACGTTTGGACCACCCCACCGGCATCGCCCCAGTTGTAGCCGGAATAGACCCTCTTGGTGCGTGGGTGGTGAACCCGCCGTCCTTCCTGATGCTGAATTCCGGTCCCTTCCCAGGGCTCTGGCGGGCCCAACCCATGTCAAAGTCTCCGAACGTGAAACCCGAGGGGTCGGGGAGATTGGGGGGTCGAGGGTCGAGGTTCGGGGGTTGTGGTAGGGATTTGGAGATCAGAGATGGAGATTTGGGGTCAACAGTTGGGATTTGGGGTCAAGGGTTGAGATTTGGGGTCAATGGTTGAGATTTGGGGTCAATGGTTGGGATTTGGGGTCAATGGTTGACATTTGGGGTCAATGGTTGACCTTTGGGGTCAATGGTTGACATTTGGGGTCAATGGTTGACATTTGGGGTCAATGGTTGAGATTTGGGGTCAATGGTTGACATTTGGGGTCAGTATCTGATCTTTGGGGTCAA